GTGTCTGATGACATTTGTGATCATGTAACTCAACACAGAGGCCATGGTTAAAAGGGGAGAAGTTATTCACTGTTTCTTTTGTTTAAAAAAGAGATTGTATGCTGTGAAGTTGGATTATTTGCTTCACTCTTCTCCATGTAACGTGTGGAGAGGCTGCATTCACTGATTAAAAAGTTCAGTTGTTTATTTAAGACATTTTTACATTCAAAATAATTATGAATTCAATTCAAATGATGATTTGATGAAAGACAACTATTGGAATATGAGTACTGATTGTTATTTATGGGAATGGAGGAGGCATAGCGAAGGGCAGGGCGGGGTTTTTTCTAAACATTTTAACTTTTCCATCGTGAAAAAGGTGTTTAAAGTTCTGGCAGAAGTTTTATTTGAGACAGAATTTACTTTTGACTCCATCAGTTCTGTGAGGTCCACTGGAAAACATTACTGTAAGAGAGCAAAATTCAAATATATATATGACCCTGGATGTCAAGCTTCACAGCCTAGATACAAATAACGCTTCTCTTTTTGCGGGTCTTACGGTTTATCTTTTATACATTACATTTTCAGCCATCATCAAAGTTAATGTTTTGATTCTGTTGTCCTGACTTTCAGTGTTTGCTGTATGTTACACTGAAAATAATGTGTGATTGTGCTGGTATTGATAAAAACTGAGTTATCTAATGTATCAAATTTGGAATGGTGTGGGAAGTTTCTCTATGTCTTTGGTTTAAAGTGGTTTACTATTGTCTTTGTTACAATTGTGCATTGCAATTTTATACTTAAAAGTAGTGGTTGGACTATGTAATCAAAAAATGTATCTAACAACACAGGACGCATGGTGCCTTTGGGGCCATTTTCCCCAGAAAACTCATTAAATTTATGTTAATTTGTTTTGCCTATGGTGGTTCTTTTTGACTTCTTAAAAAATAAATGTAAAAATGTTGGGTGAGTAAAACTGTTTACAACTGAAAGAGTCTAACGTTTCCACATAGAAATCGAGGGAAATTAACCATTTTAGCAAAGATTAGAGTAGATATTTCATTGGATTTATAAAAGTTTTGCATTCACATAGAAAAAAGAAATTGGTCTTTTTTTCTGACTTAATGAGATAATTTTTACAAAATAAAAAAAAATGTATTTTTTTCTAATTCAACACCATTTAAAACAAACAAAAATCTGAATTAACATCATTTAAAACAAATAAAAAGATTTAGGTCTGTTTTTCAAGATAATTTTTGTGAAAATACATACAAAATTTCTATTTTTCTGAAAGATCATTTTTATGAAAAATAAATCACTATTTGTTTTGAAATTATGTCATTAATTCCCTCTTTTTCTCACTACTATTTTTAACTAATACAGATTTCTGTATGTTATACAAACACCTTTGTTTTTCTTCAGCATCCCACCATTTGCCATATTTCTGTTTTGTTACTCTTTAAAACTGATTTTCCTTCCCCTTTTTCCAAATGGAATCCCGACTTATTGCCCCATCTAAGTCCTTCAGCTAATTTGACAGCAGTTTCATTATGTTTAACTCCTTCATGTGCTGGTACCCAACACAGCCAAGGCTTTCAGAAGATAACTTTTTTCCTAAATAATCTACATGAGTTTTCCATATAAATGTACAATCCAACCATAATCCTAAATATTTAAATGATGCTACGCTTTGTAAAGGCTGTCCATATAATGGTATTGTCCCTATATCAGTTTTACTCCAATTTATTTACCATAAAACAGGATTTGCTTGTAGGCATGAAGATTTATGCCTTAAAATGTATTTTATACATTTATTAATGTATTGTAAATGTATTAAAATGAATACATTTTAAGATTAACTTTCTTTAATCATAATATTAAAAGAAACTGGATTATTGCACTCCCTTGATTAATTCAATTTTGCACACTTAATTATTTTAGAGAATTCAGCCACTATTTTCACTGGTATTTTCCCATATCTGTCCAGAAGTTTGCTACATTGAAATCATTATAGAGAGAGAGAAAAAAGAAGAAGATATTTTATTAAGCAGTACATATTTAGCTTGATGGTAAAAAAAAAAAAAAGACTGCCATCATTTTAAAATCTAACTAGGATAACTATTATAATATTCAAATGTAAATATTGCTTGCAAATGAACCACATTTAGGTCCACTTTACAGATGCCTTTCAGAAAGAACTTGACTTCCATCAAGTTAAGGAAATGTCGCTCAAAACGGAAGTAAGGAATTCAAAATAAAACAGCATAAAAAACAAAAAAAACAAAAAAACAATTGCCTTAATACTATTGGCTTTTAGTTGGCAATATTGTATGATTAGGTCCGCATTGTAAGTTAATTCACTTTACAATGTGATAATGTTAGAATTTTGGTCTAAGGTAGAGTTTTATTTTGTAAAAATCCGTAATTTTTTTTTTTTTAAATAAACTTTATTATTTACCATACACAACAATGCAAAACTGCATTGTGAACATATCACAAAACAACAAAAACATATGCCAGGGGGAGCATTAACAGAGAGAACAATAAAATATTAATTAATTATTAATATTAATAGTATAATAAGAAATGACAAAATACTCTTGTTTAAAGAAAAACAGTACCAAAGGTGACAAAATACCAGATGCCACAGTGAATCAACACAATAAATTATCTAAAATTCCAATTTGATTGCAAGCCAATAAAGTTGTTTTTGCTTTTTTATTTGTAGAAGGTCGAATTGTAAATATATAATGTTTAAATTCAATCAGAAAAACTCAAAAGTCAGGTTTTTTCTCAAAAATGTGCATTTATGAAGATGAAATTTAGCCTTAATAATTAATACATTGATAAGAAAAGTCTTCTTATTCATTCTTTCATTTTGTTGAAAACCAAAAAGGACATTTACCCAATATAACTGAAATCCTATTGATATTTTTGACACAATGAAAGTACAAAAGTGTTGCCAAAATACTTTGGAATGATGACAAAACCATAAAAATCCGTAATCGGCGGGCAGCTCGTTACCGCTGTGCTCCTATAGCCTCCGCTGTTCCTCCCGTCCTGCTCCGCTCCGACTTTCCCGGAGCTCGAGGAGAGCATCCGTGATATTATTAAATTCATAGGAGCGAAACATGTGGTAATGAACACTTAATATAATATGAAATATTAAAAAAAAAATCAGCATCCAGCATATGTGCAGTTTCTACCCAAATGTTTTCTTTTTGTTGTGGATTTTTGTAACAGGGGTAACTAGGATCATACAAAGTTGCTTTTTTATTAACTTTGTTTGTACTCAGCATCTCTTCATCCATACCTGCAATAAGAGGTTTATTTTGACTGGATTTGATTAAACTTTTAAGCCTCTTGGTATAAAATTAATATTGTGATGGAGATGAGAAATCTGCTTCCTGCTATGTTGAAGAACCAATAGTTTGCATCCAAAATAATTTTTTTTTTTTTTATTATTTTTATTTATTTATTTTTTGAATATATAAAAATCATGCTCTAATTTGTGGTTACTGATCTGTCTTTACTGTATTTTAATTTGACAAACCGGATCTCCTCGACGTTCCTTTTCCTGTTTGGTGTGTTTGCTAATGCGGATCTTGACCTGGCCGGACCAGAGCGGAGCAAAAAATAGAAGACGTACGTGAACGCTGACGTGCGGAGCAGTAGCGGTGAATGTGGAACAGCTGTCATTGATTAACATGACAGCCAAGTACTCCGCACGACGTACGCGAGCGGGGTGGAGCGGAGCGGAACGCTGACGGAGTATGTGGAATCAGGGGTTAAGTTTTTTACACCAGCTGACTGGAAGTCGGGCTGAGAGAGAGAGGCAAGTATCTCCAGGAAAGTAAAATACCGCTATGTCGAAGTTAGGGCCACGATAAACCTCACGGCTATGAGTTTTCCATAGCTAAGAGGCTAACCGGAAGTGTCTAAAGGCGAAAGCAAAAACTAAAATCATCACACCGTGAACTTCAAAGTCTAATCAACTCTCCAGATTAACAAACGGTGAGTTAATAGATAAACTAGTAGCAAGCTAAAGCTACGGAGCTCGCGGCTCCAGAGCCTGTTAGCTATCGGTTGGTGTTATCTGAACATGATGGACTGCCGTGTTATATCGCAGCCCTTTACTAGTTTCATTCATTTTAATATCCGCTGCTTCTAAAGGTTGTATTAAACTTTTATCAGCTAACCGTTGAATAGTAAAGCTATTTTCGGAAAAGCTTTTAACTATTCTGTCCCAACACGAGCAGCAATTACAGGTGTACACTTCATTTGGCGACACAGATTACACTGCTCATCTGAATTATGTCAGCTAATGTAGATAAATTTCTCTTAATCTTTCCTTTATATATATATATATATA